GTGAGAAGAATCAAGGCAATTATTTATGAATTAAAGGTAGTGGTGAGGCTGGGGATGTACCTTAGTGGTAGAACATGCACTTAGCATGCAAGAGGTCCTGGGTTTGATCCCTAGTACCACCCTCCCTAAAAAAGGTAATGGTAGTCATTTGTAAAGCACAGGATAACCTAGAAGACAGACATTCTCTGTTTTAAAAGGGAAAGCCTCAGAGGGGAAATACTCTTAATAGGTAAAGGAATAAGAAATACATAATCAACAAAAATGATCAAGTGTGTGGACTGCCTCTCTGTAAATCTACAGAAACTACATTAATTTTGCATTTGCTAAAATAATTTCTATGAGCAGCAAAAAAAAGCTGAAGAATTACAAAAGATAAAAGTAACATTTCCCCTCCATCCTTACTAAAATAAAGACATTTAAAAACACAATAGGCCCAGTAGTGTGTGCCTATAATCCTTGAAGCTTGGGATGCTGAAGCAGGAGAATCACAAGTTTAAAGCCAGCCTCAGCAACTCAGCAAGACCCTGTCTCCAAATAAAACACAAAAAAGGGCTGGGGATGTGGCTCAGTGGTTAAGCACTCCTGGGTTCAATCCCTGATACAAACAACCACAAGGAAAAACAACCCCACCAAGCATATAATGTTAAAATAAAAATTAACTTAATGTAATAAAGAATCCTATAAACTCATATTACTCACTGTTGGTCTGGTTCTATCAAAAGCTCCCATTGCAATTTTGAAACCAGCTCCTTCACCAATTAAAACATTTTCTTTAGGTACTTTCACATCTTCAAAGACAATTCCTCTTGTATCTGAACATCGCTGGCCCATGTTTAACTCCTAATAGGAAAATTGTCATATTTTAATATTTCTGAGTCACATCAGTTTCAGCTTTAATCATTGTTAGACACCTTTCTGCAATTATCTAAAGGAGGGGCAACACATATGGCCTTAATCCTGTTTTTGTAAATAAAGCTTTAAAGGAATACAAACACACCTGTTTATATATCTTCCATGGCTACTTTCTTATTACAATGGCAGAATTGATAAATTGCAACAGAGACCCTATGGCCCACAACTTGGACCTTTATGAAAACCCTTGTGTTTGCCAAACCCCAAGCCGAATATGATATTTCATAAACGTTGAAATTAATACTAGTCTAA